TTAAACATTAATTAATCACATAATTTCATTATCATTAAGCCCGCTTACGTAGCCCACATTTAAAAGCTGGAGATAGACCACTCTAGTAGCGCATCACTGAGCTCGATTTTCAGTCCTTCATATTAACTGCCCTCGCTGAACTTGCCACTCACTTCCCCTAGCTGAAGAGCTACATGCTTATTTTAACATTTATTGAAACTTGTTGGTGCTGAAAATCAGCGCCGTGGGCTCGAGCCTCTGCGCCCTGTCCACGGTATTAAGCTGAGCGCTAGCCTTTTGCGGTGCGACGCACCATGGGCTTTATTATGAGTACCTAAACTCTTGTTGTGTGTCATGGCGTAATAAATGGATTTCTTTCTTTCTTTCTAAATGTAAAATGATGTTTCCCTACAAAGTCACTTCCAGTCTCTGTAACTCCATGTAACACGCACATCAGCTCTGAATGACCGGGCGGGCGCCGCGTGATGGAATGAGACATACATATGTACCCGTATACCCTGGTATACTTGGACTATACTCGGGTGTATTCGGGTGGCTTTCTTGCATTGTAACTTTTTCACAAAGTCTCGCCCAAAAGTAACGTCTAGAAGAAGAAAGAAGAAGAAAGAAAAATCATTTATTCGACAATCATTTATTCGACAATCATTTATTCTACACTTTAGACGTTACGTAGACTCTACAGTATTTAAGTAATTAAGTAATTATAAAAACATCTACAGTATTTATTGTTAATGAACAAATTTTTGTTTATTTCGATTATTAATGACTGCCTTGTTGACCGAGTGGTCGCAAGTGTGAGTGCCGGGCAAGGAGTCTCAGGTTCGTTTCCCAGGCAGGGCAATATATTATAACTGGGTTTTTTTAAATTCTCAGTAGTAACACGGACTCTGGAATTGTGCCCGGTATATGGCAATAGGCTCACCATAAATAGTAAGGCGGACCAGTCGTATTAAATGCCATGATGTGCACCTCTGCCTACCCTCTTGGGGATAAAAAGGCATACATACATAACTTCACGCCTTACATCCCCGAAGGGGTATGTAATGAATTCAATATAAATGTTTTGATAGTCTTTAAAAGTAACCAATATCCATAGGGAAAATTAGATGGAACTTATGACAGTTGGAAATGGTGATATACTATATTTAATAATGTCTGCGCTTGTGCTTACCCCTTCAGGGAATACCAGTCATATTATATTCTAGGAAAACTTCATCAACGAATTTTATTTAAACTGTTCCTTAAAATGGTCCTCTAAAATTAAATGATGGTTAGAAATACGACAAATACCCAACAAATACCAAGTATATGAAGAAAATGCAAAGATCCCCACAACCCGTCCTCTGACCGGCTCATGCACTGATAACAGCTATCAGACGTGCACAGGTACGGTGCTGGCCTCTGCATAACTCATCGTTTAAAGTGGTGTACAGTTAGAGACAAAACGAAATAATATTTTGACATTTTAATTACTTTAAAACGTTGTTGAAAGTATTTGTTTTTTAGTCTAAGTTAGAATAATTTATTCCAATTAGAGTGCGAGGACAGTTTTGAAACGAACACAAAAAAATAAGGTCTTCTTTAGTGTTTTTGTTTGTTCGTTGTTATTTGAATTTGAAGAAGTTAATAGTAATACAGTTGTCACTTTACGCAGTTATTTCGAGGAGTTTTTTTTATCTAAGTTTAGAAAAGTATTTTCGGTTTTACGAATGATTGCGTAAAATTACACAAAATTACAATTACACAAAATTAAAATTACACAAAATTACAATTACACAAAATTACAATTACACAAAATAACAATTACCCATTAAACGCCATGGGAGTCACCGGTGACCGATGTTAGCAAAGGATTTGCCTTTAACAGTTTTTTATTGGCAGTCAAAGCCTTAAAAAGAATATTTAGTGTCTGTGTTTGTTGGTGGCCATTAGCACATGGCTTAGAATCCTTTTTGCTTGACTTTACACATTACAAAAAAGTTTTGAAAATCCTCACTTTCGTTGAGGACCATACAAACTGTTGGTATGGCTATATATATTATATAGGAGAATACCATAACTTTCCGGGACTCATTATCAGTGTTGCCACATCAGCATATAAAAGTGCCGGACGGGGCGCGTTGATGATGGGAAATTAGATAATGTAATAAAAAGATAATGATAGCAACACTGCGTATTTATGTTGCTGCAGTGGACAGTGTATATTTGGAGACTTGAAGTTTATGTTAGAACATTATAAAATAATAATAGCAGAGTTTTACATTCCTTAGAATGTTGACGTATGTATCTATCACTAAATAGTATAAAAAAGTCTGTCTGTCCCTATGTATGCTTAGATCTTTAAAACAACGCAACGGATTTTGATGCGGTTTTTTTGAATAGATAGAGTGATTCTTAAGGAAGGTTTATATGAAGGTTTATATGTTTATGTATACGTGTGTATACATGAATATTGAACCCGTGCGAAGCCAGGGCGGGTCGCTAGTGTGTAATAAAATACGAAATACATTACGAAAAATACGAAACCACGAAATCTTTTGTATTCTTTATATTATACATTGATTGTCCTAAAATACTTGAACCATTTAAAAATTAGTTTGAAATCAAAATCGCACTTTAATAAACATAAATAGAAACATACAAATTATAAAATCTCCGGAAGAGTCATAGAAATAAAATATTTATCTAACAGGTATTAAAAAGTAATAATGTCATGTCGGATTTATTGGAAATGACCAATAAATATGAATAACTACGGAAACAACACATTCACACGTCAACACGCCGACACTATTGATGTGCTACCTCGTATAAAAGTCATCGCCAACGAATTTGTAGCAATATATTTTTTACAAATTTTATTACAACAAACTAGGACAATGTCTCAGTAAAAAAATAAATAAAAAAACTAATCAACTAGTCCTATATATCCACCGTTTATTGTGTATTTAATGTGGGAACCAGTGTCGCGGGGACAAATCCCTCCGCTCGTAAATCAAGGCAAACGATGCGCGTGCGCCGATACCATTATGTAGGGCAGTGACGTCATTAGACATTTTACTGATTTTCTTTATCGCTCTCCGGTGTTAGGAAATCAGTTTTTGATGTTCTTGCTGTTTTAGTTACATTTTAATATAGTTTTTTATGAGAAAGGAAGTTGATTAAAATTGTAAGTTTATAAAAATAAATAAATGTAGTATCAAAATTGTGTTTGTTAATTTAATTATAGTAATTAGCACCAGGATTAAATTATGCAAAACTATGAAATTACATGTGGGGCCACAAAGTTAATCATTTAGATCGACTTCGTACAACCGTAGCTTGTATTAGTATGTGACAAAGAGAATCGATTTCATTGATTTCAGAGGTCATACGTAGAGACAAAATACCTTAAAAAGTGATGATGATGATAAGATAAAGATAAAGACATTTATTTGCGTAAAACATGGTATACAGAGATAATATAGTTACAATATGCATGCAAATTTTAACTCATTTTAACTAACTTACTATTACTATTACTACTTTAATCCTTAATGCAACGTAAGTTATTTTCATTCAACCATACATGTAATTTAATTTTTAACAGTCTGAAGTTGAGTATTTTTAATATAATCTGCAATTTATTAACTATTCGGACACACATAGATAGGCAGCTTTTATAATATTTTGTTTACTTAGGAAACTCCTGAAACAAGTTTTAATACTGACAAATTTTCATAGATTTTTTTCGTACAATAAATTATGTAAGCAACAAATAGTTTGCCCTTACATCTGTCACTTTGTCATTGATGTCATCAATGGTACTATTTTAAACCTATTTAAAAAATCGCACTTTTCGTTGCCCCAAAGCATAGTATGGTCTGTCGATAAATCTGTGTTGTCTAATAAAAACCCTCGGCCACCACCACTGGTCTGATTGTCCGCCGCCTACCTACATACACTGGTATATAAATAGTCCGTCTGTATATTTGTAACTACATATTATATTCTAGGAGCTGTATCTTCGTGTATTAGGAAATGTGGAGCAGAAATAGGTTTACTATCTTGTTTGGCTTATTTTGAATACTTAGTTAAAATAGTTTTTTTAGTCAATATTACAAAGGTAATAATTATGTGATAGTGAACTGTTATGATAGATAAAACCCTTCTGGATTCAACAAGTTGCATCTACCAATTAGATTCGAACCCTACTCTATTTTTATGTGAGCAGGTATGTATAAAAAAATTAATCTAAGTCTGCAAATCAAATCTTGAGCAAAATAAACATTTTGTAGAAAGACGTTAATAAAAAGAGGAACAGAGATATCTGTCGCATGTTTCTCCTTATGCATCATAACAACACGCCTTTATCACCGAGGGGGTAGGCAGAGTTGCACATTATGCCACTGTACAATGTATCACCCACTTTTCACTAATTATGTTATGAGTCCCATGTAATAAGGGGTGAGCCTATTGCCATATACCGGGCACAATTCCAAGCTCCGTGCTACTACTGAGATTAAAAAAAATCCAGTAATACTTCCCACGACCCGGGAATCGAAGCCGAGACCCTTGCCCGGCTCTCGTTATTAAATTAAAAATTTCAAAGTCAATCCATTTAAGAAGTTCTATTGTCTTAAGAGTTTAAAATTCAGTTGGAATAGTGCTGGCTTTTAGTATCTTCATTAGTCGGAGAGCCCGCGGCGACGGCAAGCAAACATCTCGTGTCAGACTGTAGACGTGCTCGAGAAATTAGCTGACCGTCTGATGTCTGTGCAATATACTTGTTTGGACATATTCTGAAGTAACACAATGTAGTGGTTTTATTTTTAAGATTTTCGTTTAAAATTTTGTTTGACCCTTTTAGGATGTTATGATTTTTTTCATTATTCTGTTTTCTATGTCTTTTCTTTATATGACAAACAAGCCAACAATATGCCAAAATATAAAAAGTAACCCAAGCGTACTCATTATTTTAATTAATAATTCTAATGAATTAAAAAAAATATTTATCTGGTGTCAATTTATTTAGTCAATTTACACAATGAACGAAAGTTTAGGCCTGTTTATTATTAACGATACCAAGCCAAGTGCTGGGGCAAGAGTCTTTGAAAGCTGGGCTGGAGTGTGCCAGGTGGATATCCAGCAGCTCAGCAATGGGCAGCATCTTGGAGGCGAGGGCCTTCAACATGTCTATCACTTGAGGACCCACCATCTGCGGCTTAGTAGCTAGAACCTCTAATGCCTTGGATCTGATCGCAAAGTTCACTGTGTTGCGGAGGTGGTACTGGAAAGATGGGCAAATGATATTGAAGTTAGCTCCTTGACTAGATTTTTAATTTATATAGTGTTGTTTAGAACAGGTAAATAAATACGTATAGTTGTGTATATAATATTATTTATTTCTCAGTATATGGTGCATACCGATTTCAACAATACAGCAGTTTCACATACATGTAGTAATGTAGTGTGTAGAAATAATAATAATCATAGATTAAAATTTCAAAATTTGGAAAACACTGATTTTTCTTGGTACTGTCCAGTTTATTAAATATCTGGACCAACTATGAAAGTAAATAGTTTACTAATATTTTCCGTCATTTAGATAACATAAATATTAGTGTACCTACTTATACATATGTATTTCTATATTTTGTGCTAGTTCCAGTAGAGCTTAATACATTAGGCAATATGCTATTTACATTGGGTTATTCACGTGGTTGATATTGTTGGATAGACAGAGAGAACTCGAGGCATGTGCTTACACTACAAAGCATTAGACGCACAAATCCGGGCACTAAGGCAAGTAAGGCAGGCATACATAATATGTGTGTGGGTATCTACAAGTTGTAACGATCCAATGAAGTTAATGATATGATAATGTTAGAATTTATGGATAATGATAACTTAACTATAAAGACACATTTTTAAACAATATGGGATCAACAACTAACGCTCGAATACTGAAAGGTTAGTAAGTTGTACCTAAATATCGTGCCATCTCTGTCTTTTACTTAGAAATTTGTAGTGACAGAATTATATTTAGGTACTTATTTACGTAAAGAATGACTGGGAAACAATGCCCAAAGCATTAAGTCCGCCTGTACACACTTGTTGTATTATGTTTAAAAATAAATAAATATTGAAGCACGACTTAAAATTAAATGACTTTTGAGTATTTCAGAGTAAGCCCCTTCCTAGCTTTTCCAAGAAACTAAAGACTAAACTAATTTTATGTTTACTATCGATTTTTGTAATTTCTAGATGTTTTTCACTGTCTACATGAAGTATATATTTTAGTGCTAACCTGTATGAGCAAGGCTACTCCAAGATGAACTGGTTTGATTTCCATGTCGTTCAGTTTCCTGACCAGGATCCTCGGCGTCAGGTCGTCTAGCTTACCCAGCTGAGCTATAATCCTAGGAGCCTGGAACGGATCACGACGTTAAAACTTAACTCACTCATATTAACTAAATAATCTAAATAAGGCTGGCTTTGTGACAGAATACTGTAGTATTCTTTTTTTTATATTTGATGGGGTCAATGCTGCAGTGATGCAGTCTACGATGGAGCACGTCGTCCCATAAGCAACCTATTCACTCAGGCATTGAAGACTCCCAGGTTATACCCTTCAGGAAATACAGACTCTGGCAAAGAATTCCACTTTTTCTTTATTCGCCCTTTTCGAAGCCACACAGAGCGCTTTGAACTTTTTTTTCCAGTCCATACACCTAAAACATTTTTATAGAAAGTTTTAAAAGTAATTGCAATATAGTTTCATTTATAAAAAATTGTCCTGGTTGGGTCTCACCCAGCACTCCTTAACTTTTGATGTGATACTCACAGTGAACATGATATCATACAGCCTGGCACAAGCATGGAACACCTGGACGTCTGCCATCTGGTCGTGCATGTCCCTGCTCTCCACCGACATGTAGTAGCGATGTGCGGTGTCGATGCGACTCTGAGCCGTTGTGTTGCGGGGTAGATCCTGTGTGGTGAAATAAATGAGATTGATTTTAAGATAATGTCCATTATGTTTGTTTGGTTTTATCGTCTTAACTTCGAATGCTGTATATAATTAAACCTTTACAATATATTTGAAATAATCTTATGAATCGCTTTAACCACTGCGGGTCTGATGGAAACTGCATAAACATTGGTTTAGTATATTTTAATGGAGACTATCGCGTGCAAACTATTGAATGAATGAAGAGTTGGGTTTCTATATTTCAAAGTAATGAGATATCCCACTGCTTTTATAAGATATATAGAAGACGATGTGTGACAATAATTATGTGATGCTGCTTGGAAAACTTTACTATAACAAAAAGAATGTATATGACACGTGAATATGCAATGAAAGAATTTTTATAGTTTATTGCACAGAGCTAATAGAATTTCGAAATAAAATGAAATATATTTCATTCAATTACAATACAAAAAGTATATCCCTAATGAACCGATTTCATCCGAATGTGGTTTTTTTACTCGATTTGTATAAATTGCAGCTTACAATGGAAATGGATAACTGTTTGATACGAGTTCAAAATAAAATTGAACTCGCTTTGTTTCAGTGCATTTTACTTCTAACGAAAAATAAAAACCTCTAGATAATTTTGTATAGAATTTTAACTAAAGTATTACCTATTTTACAGCTTCTTCGTTGTTTGTTACATTATTTAAGTACAAGAGCTTGTTACGATATTTGATGTGTCGTTAAATAACTTGATGAAGCACTGAAGACAATACAATATAAGGTAATTCCATGATAAAAGGATGATAAAAAGATCATGAGATTATGTTTAAGTGATTGATGAAATATATGTTAACTGGAGCAGACACATACATATCTAGAAAATTCGTTAAAACTCGTTGGCCGAGCGGTCGCAAGGGCGACTGCTGGGTTAGGGGTGTTGGGTTCGACACCTGGGTCGGGCAAAGTGGTACTGGCTTTTTAATTATTTCCCAGTAGTAGCACGGAGTCTGGGTAGGCTCACTCCCTGTTACATGGGACTCATACAATAAATAGTGAAGAGTGGGTGTTAGTTTGTACATTAGTATTAAGTAATGTGAACCTCTTCGGGGAAAAAAGGCGTGATGAGATTACAGACACACAATAATCTAAACGTAATGAAGAATTGAAATAAAAATTATGCCTAGAAAAATCCAACTGTACACAATCACCCTTCGAAACTGGACAGGCGTAACATTACAACCAGTATTTCACACAAATGGCTGTTCATGAGGAATTAAACTCATTTATGTGAAGTAACTCTAGCTGAATATTCGGCCATTGTTAGCCGACGCCATTGTTTCGAAGCAATATGCAGACACGAAGAGTTCTGCTCATATTCGTTTACAAATGCTATTTGTTATAGTTGTGGACATAATAGTAGATTTATAATTCAGTTGTAGATATTTATGTGACTTTGAAAATACCTAGTACTGGTCGTTGGCGGAGGATTTTGTTGAGCAGAGGATTTCTTCTTGCTGATATAATAGTATACATTTATAGAAGATTTGATTCATTATATTAAGTGACCGTAAGTGTGATATCAGTCCATATTTTCAGGGTGAACATGGCCGATAGAACCATGTCATTTGTCAATTTCATCAAGATACGTATCATGGGACCTTTTTGAGTGAAATAAGTAGATTGACGCATGGGTTTTAACGAGATTAAAATTCCTGCTTGTTCCCATTCTTTTAGGAATTTCGGGAAATCCTCTAAGTGCTCCCCTATACTTTGGCTGTGTGTTGTCTGTTCGACAATTTTATTCGTTTACACTTAACCATATTATTTACTACACATACATACATACATGTTTGGATGTATTTTGATGCAATTTAAGCCCCTAACCGACGAGTATGCATGAAAAGACTAATGACTGTCTATGAATCATGAAGCGAAAGAGGTATGTCAGAACCGTAACAATTGGCGTTCCATAGTCTCTATCTGCCCCCTTTGAAGACAGGCGTGAGGTTAGGTATGTATTAAGCCAAGAAATTAATGCTTTATGTTAGTAGGAGTAAAGTAGATCTATACTATACCTTAGCAATATCGATAAGTTTCATGACGAGTGAGGAGTAGATTCGCCGGCTGATCGCATCGGTGCGCCGCGAGCGGTAATTGTCTACCTCGCTGGAAGCCAACCAGAATGAAATGAAAAAAAAAGATCAAAAATATTGAACCTATCTCTTCGTGGAATAGGTTTCCAGGAAATATGTTCTTGGGTATTTTAAATTAGGTATTTTTAAAACTTAAAGCTAGCTTTCTTTAGAGATTACAAACGATAATAAATAAAGGTTTCTGATGGTGTCTGTATGTAAATTAGTGTAGTTATGATTAAGACGTTGATATTTGCAGCTGTTTATTTAGAAATAAATAGATACTTTGCTTTAATAACTTAAAAAAAAGATAAACTACACTCAAATCCTTGTTTAGGCATATTCCTTGGGACGGATCATTAGAATCAGTATCGTAGCTAAAAATACCAAAGAACCCATATTCACCTACTCAATCCATGGTTTTACCTCAACTATATTCACACCACATACCATACAATCCCAAACGTTCCCAGATGTGAACCAATACCAATATTTTACCAGTAACTAGTGTGGAAACTACGCACCTATCGTAAGCCTGTGGGCCATAACGTTACCGTTGCCATGGCAACCGGACTTGAAATATAACGTTAACACCGTCGCAGATAACTTGACGTCATTGTTATAGGGGATAGAGATACAGCACTGTATCAGTATATTGTGATGGTATATAGAGATATAACACTGTATCAGCACTGGATAAAGACAACTCTGGTGTGGTGGCAGATACTGTGCTATATCTGCAGAGATCTCTGCATTTGTAGGTACAGCTTCCATGTATTAGTTGAAGATTAAATGTAGAGCCTCGTAATACTGCCTCGTTGGCCAAGTGGTCGAAAGTGTGACTGCCGGGCAAGGGGTCTCGGGTTCGATTCCCGGTTCGGGCACGTATTACTGGGTTTTAAAAAATCTAGTAGTACTTAGCACGGAGTCTGGAATTGTGCCCGGTATATGGCAATAGGCTCACCCCCTATTACATGAGACTCATAACATAAATAGTGAAAAGTGGGTGTTACTTCTGTGTGCATCTCTGCCTTGTTGTTGTAGTTTTCGGATGCAGGTCTTGTTTATACATGTATAATATAACAACACTAACGGATCCGAAGGATACGGCATCCTTACAATGGAACCAGGATTTGTGTTCGGTGTATCAGTAAACTCAGTCACTATAATCTACACTGTCTTACGTACAAACGGTATAAAGGTACATGAGGTTGTGAAATGTGTTGGTGAACTCTTCTAAAAGACTATTGCATTTAAGAAAAAGGTTTTACAGGTCTGTTAAAAGAGTTATAATAGATCTAATAAGGCTGTAGCATTTGTGAAATTAGCAGTCACTCTTCTTAAAATACTAGATACTTTATCTAGATATCATTTTATCGAATCTAATAGATTCCGACGATGCCAATCCTAAAATAAATTATAAAAATTTCGGGAGAAAGAATATGTTACCGTTTAACAATATACTTGATGACCAGTGACATGGTGCGGTTCAGGTACACCTGGTTCTCCTTCTTCAGATCAAACAGCAGCTCCTCGTCAAACTTGGAGTCTTGCAGAGCTTCCACCATCGCTTTCGCCAGGCGACGGTTCTCTTGGAAGTAATTCTTTAATATTGGAACAAGAGTTAGTAGGGGCTTGTCGGTTCTATAGAAAATGTTGAAAATTTTGTCTATATAACCTCATTGAGTTTGTTTGGTCACCCATGTCCCATTAAAAAGGTAAGTTGATTCATTCGTTATACACAACTATCGAAGTTTGAACCTTGATACTTTTTTGGTTTTGATTTGAATATATCTCATAAACCTTGTCTAGGCTCTTCTTAAACATACAAGATAAGGATTCAGTAGTTAAGCAATTTAGAATAATCGATTGAATAAGTAGCGCCACGAGATAAAGAGTTGACATATCTTCACTTATCAAGGCAATGAGATATCGAAATCTCAGTGTGAATCTATGAACATTCAAGTTAATTATAGCTAGTTTGTAATACTGGCAGCCGCAAACAATTCGTAGTTTCTGCTTTAAAAAGCACAACGCAATGAATATCGCTGATATTCAGCTATTTGCTGTCGTTGTTAATTCCCAGTGACCGCTCGGCTGCACATCACATAACATTACTTAATTTCAAAAGCTTTATTCAGCGAATATAGGAGAAATATCTCCTTTGTTCCGAACCCATAGCACTTCCAACAAACAATGGACACTAGCGCAGCGATTAAAATAAATAAAATGTTCTAAAGAACACGCTGCGGTACGAAACCAAGCAATTTAGATCTCATAAAATGTAACAAAAAAGGAACTTGCGAATAAAATCGTACAGTTTTTTATCTTGGCGGCATTTACATCTGTATGCGTTCGTTATCAGAACATGTATTGTTGCCAAATTTCCGGAGCTGTTTTGCAATGTTTGGTGCAACAAAACAATTACGTTTTACCTCGACGTTGGTGGCGGCGGCGGCGGCGCACAGCACTACCACTGCGAGCAAAGCGGCCATTCCCCACTGCAACATTCACTTTAACTGTCCATATCCATTTTATTTTTCACTAAAATGACTTTCACAGAGAATATATAACGTTGTGTTTTTATTCACGAGGGAGGCGTGTGGTGTGTGCACGTAGCGACTCGAGGCGACCAGCGACTGCAAGTTTGTGGCCACTCTCGTAAAACGTGATTGTTAATAAAATTGCGAGCCGAGTTACTGTTAAGTGACTTGTATGTGCACTCTGATGTACTATATGTACAGCTCCGACTTAAATACATAAAAATAAAATATAAATGTTGTTATTTTGGATGCGTCAAGTCAACAGCTTGTAGGCAACTTTATACCGTATCGAATTATTTATCTTTGTTTGTAGGTGAATTAAAATTTTCGATACATACAACCCCGTCAACACAGTCACGGAAATTCGCAAAAGTTTTAAAAATGAAATAAGTCTACTATGATTTTATTTCACTGGAACACTGAATTCAGCCAACATTGGGATGCAACTTTTGTAGCAAAAAAAGCATAGGAGAGAAACATTCGCTTCGAAAAATTCAGTTTTCTACTCGGAATTGAAAATTATTAAAGTGCACAAGAGAATATAGTTCAATATGGTATTTTTTATAGACTTTAAAACGATTCTAGAGGCAAGTTAATCACATTTGTTTTCAGCATTCATAGGTTTACTGTGAATTCGGTGTGATTATCAGGTGCGATAATTATTCATTTGTAAAGAATGGGTTTGATTCTCGGGTTAGGTAAAGTATTTCATTGATGCTGGTTCATTGTCTCTATAACATGAGGTCCACATTCTCTTGTTCAATGATGTTTTTTTAAGGGGGGAAAATCATCGAATGACTGCTCCCGCCTGGGTGAGGCGGGAGGGAGAGTCAGACTCTTACTGCAAAAAACCACCCCGTTCCTTCTCCTGCATGTCGAGCCGGAGCTCTGCGTCGAGGTTCTCCGCGACTCCGAATCGGCATCGGATCTTTTTGGCCCCATCTGTGGTGGTCTGATGGCTCTTTGGGGCGCGCGCGGAACGCGACGCGACGTACGCTCGGGATACTAAACGTCTAACCTAAAATAATGGACCTTATTTATTCAAAAGTTAGTGGTCAAGGAATATTATAAAAATAAGACCTCCTTTAATATTTAGTTACCCCTCGGGACACAAGTTCCGCGCTACACGTTACAGAGAATGTCCTAACTTACACTTTTTCCGCCATAAACACGTACTTTAATATTTTAAAGTTTTCTCAACGTTTCGTACTAAGACATTATTAATTCATACGCTTTTTTAACAACTATTGTTAGTGGTTTTACGAGGTAATTAATATAAAATGAGATTTTTTATTGTATAAGCAGTTTTTTCAGGAAGTTTTAGATATCTTTTTAGATTGATTATAAGACTCGTATTAAAGCTTGAATTGATGTTAATTTACTGTGATTTGGAGGCAAAACCAAGTGTTTGAGCCAGTGTACGATTTTATCAACATTGGAAAATAAAATAAAACTTATATTATCTATAATTTAATATTATGGTCATATTAACTAGTTTCATTCAAACTCTTTTAGAATAAGCACATCTTATTGAGTGCGACTGCCGGGCAAATGGTCTCGGGTTCTATTCCCAGGTTCGGCAAAGTATTACTGGGTTTAAAAAAATTCTCATAAGTAGCAAGGAGTCTGGAATTGTGCCCGGTATATGATAATAAGCTCACCCCCCATTACATAGGACTTGTCATAACATAAATAGTGAAAAGTGGTATTCCATTATACAGTGGCACTAAATACCGTAATGTGCACCTCTGCCTACCCCTTCAAGGATAAAGGGCGTGATGTTATGTTATAATAAATCATGTACTTGATGGAATTACAGTCTTTCACTTCTAATATGAACCCCGAATACAGTTTCTAACGTAATCTAGGTACTATGATGGACAGGATTGGTCATACAAGATATTCGTGTAGTCGTGTCGGACCCGCGTCGTATTGCCAGCGTATCGGTAAATATCGGCGCGTGTCGCAATACTTTTACTGCCACCGTAAAACGCGGGATTTATTGCATTTACAGTATGCCACTTGTATTTTGTATGGCATACTAGCTTCTGACAGCGGCTTCGCACGCGTTATATTTGGTATTAAACTGTCAAACACCAAGCGGTCACCGGTGACCGCAACCTATTGTTCTATAATTGTGTCTATAATGACGGGACTTGACGAGTTAACCAATGTAACTATAAATTTCCTATCACTATCTATCTATTAAAAACAACCGCATCAAAATCCGTTGCGTAGTTTTAAATATTACATACAAAGGGACAGACAGCAGAAAGTGTCTCTGTTTTATGTAGTGATAGTATTTTGTTATTTTGTATGAGAATACGCTAGTTGTCTCGTTCAGTACTTCGTGGCTGGCAGGCGATGATTGATGAGTATTGCCGTGTCGTACGGTTATTGTCTGACTTGATTTAGTTACTCGTTGACTGTTGAGGTCGTATTGATGAAATTTGTTTGTTGTTGTCTTGGGTAGATAATCTGGTCTAACATTTCGAGAATGAGTTTTAAAACTTATAGACTCAATTTGGTAACTAAATATATATCTCGACTAAATACTTATATTTGACTCCAACATTATTTAGGTAAACGATAGAATTATTACGGTCTTCAAAAGCACCGTCCAATATTTGTCTGAACTAAAATATTCATATCAAACTTAGACAGCCCTAAATTTTAAACTCTCAAGCCAAATCCTATTTCTCCGAAACGCTTTAACACTCATACAGTTTACGAAACTGGCAACCAAACTGATGCTAAAATCTTATAAGCCATTCATTCGACTGCAATACTAACTCGAGAAACCGATCACCCACTATACGTATAAGCACTCAAAATAACAAAAAGTCCTCAATATGTGTGACATCGAAGCAGGTCGTAAAACTGAAAGATAAAATTTTACGCGTAACACGTAACTACGTAACATATCAGAAAATTGTGAAATTCTAGACAAAACTTTAATATTACACAGGGGCGATAAGTGAAACGTGAAATTTCAGCGTTTTCCCGCGTCCTGGAAATTTATCCGCGGCGGAATCACCCGGGAATGGAATCCCATTCGATTTCCGCGCACTTTTACACGGAACTACTTTAGGGTGGGGTGTGAGGGAGGAGCGGAAGCGGGCGGCGGCCGCACTGAACACGCCAGCGTGAGATCCTTATCAATTAATTTGTTCAGCGATTTATTAAAACTATATGTCTCACTGAATTTGGAAACTAGGTTATATCGACTGCGAAATATTATATACGCTTTTCTTTCAACTGTTGTCTTTTAATTTGGTTTCAACTGTGTGGTTTGAAAGAAGTTCATTTCTTTTCAACAATCTTATATACTATCATTGAATTATGACGTTAATTAATCTATTGTATAGGTAATTACAACGTATATTTGTAGGTATACGTTTAAACAAATTAAGTAACCAGCGTCACTTTAAAATTAACTTATGATAGTTTATTAGTACATTAATTATTAATTAATTAATACATAGTATAAAACAAAGTCGTTTCGCTGTATGTCCGTATGTATGCTTAGATCTTTAAAACTACGCAACGGATTTAGATGCGGTTTTTTTTAATAGATAGAGTGATTCTTAAAGAAGGTTTGTATGTATAATACATGCATATTGCACCCGTGCGAAGCCGGGGCGGGTCGCTAGTATAGTAATATATACAAAAACTCAAGAAAACAACACTTCTTCAGAGTATTTTTCACCCAAATCTACACACATCTAAGGTCATATTAACATGACAATACAGATGGAATTTGAGACATTCTTCCACACATTATAACCACAATATCAATATAAAAAACACCACCGAAGCATTCTCGATGTCTAAACCCTTCTGTAGAATCCGAAGGAAAGGTCATTCTATTGGCAGAGCTCTATAAATCGGTATTTACGGCCTATCAAACGTTTAAGCTCTATACTATATCATGGTAAGTGGCCGTGACTCCAGCCGCTTTAAACATGGGAATACAAACAAACGTAAATTATCTAGTAATATGCGCTATAAACTATCGATTTGTCTATTTTTAGGCTCAAGTTTTGAGCTACATTCTGTAATCAATGGTGTTATCACTTTTAGAGTGACGTTCGTGGTTAGATATCCGCTAATGAGTAATCAATTCATTTGTACTAATTTAGGCAACCATTATGTATTATTATTATATATATTTATATGGTAATAAAAAAATGCATCAATGGGTTTGGAGACGACTGTAAATTGAAGTGCACTTAAAAACGACTGCACGGTTGGCGCAGTGGCTGGGGTAACCGGCTGCTGCGCAACGTGCAGCGGGTTCGATTCCCGCATGGAGCAACTCTTTGTGTCATACACAAATTGTTGTTTCGGGTCTGGGTATCATGTGTGTGTGAACTTGTATGTTTGTAACCGCACCCACGACACAGGAGAAAATCCTAGTGGGGGGGGGCAATGTTTAAAATAACAATGGTTTTGGAGACAACTATAAATTGATGTGAACTTAAAAACATTATATGGTTAAATTATTGAAACCAGTAACATAAGTCAGTGTATGACATTTATATACAAATTATCCCAAGAAGTTACAGGACAGAAGGATCAGACAAATGACAATCACTAATCAGTCTGATCATAATCACGTCACAGCTAAGATTATAAGGGCCTTTATTTCAATCATCTGTAGAATTAAACTGAGATTTGATACTTTTTAGTAAAGAATAATTGTCAAATATTCAAAGTTATTCCTCAGTTAAAATTTATCTGGCGTTGGAAAAACCGGCCCTATGTATTACAAGCGTCTTTCACCGTGCACCCGCTCCGCCTATCACCAAATATCTACCTTAGAAATGATATTTGCCAATCAATATGCATTGGTGAAGAAATTCCTGGCGTATATTGCACTATACGTATTGGAAATATCAATTATTTAAATGGCGTGGAGATACCTATTTGATTTGATGTGACGGTGGTACCTGGGACAATGAAAAATACCTCGTATCTTTATTCTGAGTACAGAGAAGCAGTGTTTTGTTTTATGGGTCTCTAGGAAACATCTTATATTGGCTGTTTGGAGCTCATTTATGTTAGAATTGAAATTTGGTAATGTTGTATTTAAGTTTTCAGTGTATTTAAGTTGATTTCTGGGTTTTATAATCGT